GAAGCGGTAGAAAGGGCGATATTAATAGTACAGTTATGCTTCAAAAAAAGTCAATCTCGTGCGTAATCAGTGATAGCGGTATCAAATCAGTTCGGGAATGTATTAGGTATGAATGTTCAATAAATTGGTTTAGTATATTCTGAAACCCTGAATTTTCTCATAGATAATAGGGCGACTGTCGAGAGTACTATTAAAATTTAGTCGACGGATAATGGTCACTGAGTAAGGAATCGCAAATGAGAATTACACCGAATGTGTCGTTAATAATTTTCTGTAAAATTTTTCTTTTTAATGATATTTGATCATGTTAAACAGACAGAATTTATCTTTAAGCTCACTCCTGATCGCATTGAAATTGCTCATTTATTAGGTTGAAATTTCTCGCGCACCCAATTGGGTAAGTAAGCCCTAATTAAACCGAAGTAAAACGAATTAGGGTAACATTTCTCAACTAACATGCATTATTTCTGCCTGCTTTACCCAAAACTATCACTAAAATGAACTTTAGGTTAAAAGAACCATGTAAAATTATTTTGTTTCCATGATCCGTATGGGCTGGTTCTCCAAATGCTTCCTTAATTTAAAGTAATTAGAAGCTCTATGTTCCCTAACTTCCAGACTGCAGATAATTATTAGTAATTATATAGTACACTAATTATATAGTACACTACCATTCAGATTTATTTTGTTTCAGAGTCGTTGAATTTAATACTAATCTAAACGATATATTGAGCGTCATGTGGTATGAATGACTCCTGTTAGTTTACATGAGTTATCCCGCTACAGATGCGTAGCACAGCATTTTTTTTGTGATCAGCTGTGATCAACGAGTATCTGCGGATTTTTAAATGCGGATTTGTATTATGTTGATGCGAGTATTTACGTCAGAGTTTAAATAATTCAATCTGTTCAATAATTCAACATCAATTATTGAATATGGGTAAGCTAATTTAATTAATAGCTGGCGATATATTAATATTGAATCATTGAACAGCTCAACATTGATAGGTCCTCAGTTCTTCCCATATTACCGCATACGATAAATAGTATTTTCTTCGGCCATATGTATACAAATTATTCATTTTAGTAGCTTGTAGAATGATGAATTATTTAAGTGTTTTTAGTCAATTCGCACACGAAAAACGCGATAAAATAAACTTATCATGAATTTGTGTCAGCACTAAAATTTTGTTTTAATTTAAATAATGAAATATTTTTTGTTGATTTGTTAATTACTATTGATATCTGTTACTCTTTTTCCAGTTAACTGGTCATTTGTTCGAATATAGCCTGGATTGCCAAGTCTTCCATAGACAATACATATAATTACTGTGACTCTGAGAAAGCTTATCAAGCACGTCACATTTTATGCAGGGTGTGCAACTTGGACAACTCCTCCGTGAATTACCATTAAACTTTATGACTAGATTTCATGTGTTTTTGATACATTCTCCTCTATAAATAATTTTACGCATCATAATTTAAAACAGTACAGATTTCCATATAGAGAATCCTCTCATATTCCTCAGCACCTATCTTTTCAATAAGAGGCGCAGAGAACTTCATGAATAACAAATTAAATTCTTTTATTCATATCTTAAATAGACGCTTATGCGTGCAGACCGATTCGCCATGACTGAGTACGCGCGTTTTTTAGCTATGACTAAACTATTCAACAACAGCAGCCAAACCATAACCGCCCATCATGTGTGTGTGTGTGTGTTTCAGCGCAGAAAATTGCTGAATAAGAATCAATTTTTTCTCTCTATCATGTAATAATTTTCTTGTCAAGACCGCATGATAGATGAAACCCTCAGTCGGATGTGCTGCGATTCCAGCAAGCTAATGGCGGAATTATTCATAAAGTTATCCAGAGAAAAATACAGTAAGTTTCAGCTTACGGTGACCTTGAATAACAGATAAAAAATTTTCCATCATTGTTATCTTCGAATCGTTAGAGTGACTAATAAATAATAATAATGTCACTCGATTGTTCGAATCGCAGATCAATCATGAATTCATATGCGAATTTTTGCCTCGATAATTATTTGTGTTGCCCTGACTTTGGTTTTAAATCTATGGATAATCTAAATTTTATTCAAAGATCGAAAAAAAATGGTGCCAGGGGGCATGTATGACTCCAGTATTTTCAAATGGGTTACCCCGACAAGGTCCGTGAGCAGTCCGTTCTTTATAATCAGGGGTGACGGCCAGTAAAGCCTGCGGACCAACAAACGTAAATTTTAAAATATAGATAAAGCTTCTTCACTGCAATGTACTATCATCTAAATAAGATTCAACGCTTACGCAACGAATGTCTCATTACCGTCCACGAAGAATGGATTCTGTGTAGGATTGTCTTCTTCTTTCCTATAGGCAGCCAAGAGCAGCAGGCGGAAGAATCTGCTGCACTCAAGTCATTGTTGCATCCTGAAAATGTCAATCATATTACACTTAATTAATTAAAGGAGAACAACGCTGGCCCGGGATGCGTGCGAAGATGGAGCCGAGACTGCCTTCGCAGGAACTTCTTATCATTCCGATATTTCATTGGGGGAACAATGTCATGTGGTGGTATCGAGTTGTACTGAAGAGAACGACAGACTTTTGAGGGGGAAACTTGCCTGGTATTTTGTATGGATCATCTGACGGTGGGGCGGTGGCTGGTGTTAACGCTGGCTGGCTTCTTGCGCATCTTATAAAACATGCTTTTATAACATCTTATAGATATATTATGATATAAATATAATATGGATATAAGATAAGATGTTATAAAACATGGTTGTATAAGATTGGCACGCGTTTGTCTGTCTCGCAAAGTTGGCCATCCCAGGCCGTGTGTTGCATGTTATTCACACAGCAAGTCCGGCAGAAACGATGCGAGACCCGCCGTGCTGCTCTACGTTGCACTTTTTAGAGGCTGGCAATATCGTCTGATGTCAGCTGTACCGTGTCAGCTGTGCGCAGGAGTGTCAGCTGTGCGCAGGAGTGTCAGCTGTGCGCAGGAGTGTCAGCTGTGCGCAGGAGTGTCAGCTGTGCGCAGGAGTGTCAGC